CTCTGTTTTCGCAGTATCAAATGGCGAGCGCTGAATCCATTTGTCAAACAAACTTCTGGCGTACGTTGGCGCTCAGGCCTGCAGATCACTCATTTATCTGAATACACACTCGTCCATTAGTCCCAGATCTGCTTTCACCTTTTCTCTTTCTCTCTGTCCGTTCATCGCTCTCCTCCTCCTCCTACTCCCTCATCTCCCGTTTCCCTCCTTCTCTTCGTCTGGCTTGTCCTTTCTTGTTGTCCTCGTCATCATCCGTCTTGCTCTGTCATCACTCGTTCGCACTGCTCCACTCATCCCCATTCCTCTGTTGTTGTAATCATGGAGGGATGGAGGGATTGACCCTTGGCTGGAGGTTGGAGTTCACCTGGTGTCATCACATCTCATTCATGCATTCACTCGCTCTCTTGCTAAATAGTGCAGAGCTTTGTAAGTAAAGCCTAGAAGAACTTAAGCTCCACTTGTGCGGCCTTTCCTTGTTTTCATTTCAAAGCGAATATTCACTTTCTGCTTTCTCCTCTCCACGTTTCTGAACTCTACGTTACATTTACTCATTTGACGCTTTTATCCAAAGTGACTTACATTTGAGGAACAACAATCATCAACAGAGCATAAAATACAGCACGAGAACAACAACTGACAATACATATTAATAAAAGTAGCAATAAATACTAGTAAGCGCTAATGGCACGTATCGCATCAATGGGGTAGATACCTAGGGAAAGAAGTTAGAGTTAACAGGTGTTATAAGAGGAAGTGTTCTTGGAAGAGATGAGTTTTCAAGAGCTTCTTGAAGTTAGAGAGGGACACCCCTGCTCTGATGGTGTGTGGTAGCTCATTCCACCATCGTGGTGTCACAGATGAGAATAGCCGGGACTGGGATTGCTTTGTGTGAAGGGATGGCAGAGCCAGGCGGCGTTCGTTGGAGGAGCGTAGTTGCCGTAGTGTGCAGACCCAGTAGTCACTCTATATGCAAGCATTAGTGACTTGAATCTGATTCTGGAGGCCACGGGGAGCCAGTGGAGGTCACTGAGTAATGGAGTGACATGAGTCCTTCTGGGCTGATCGAAAACCAGACGTGCTGCTGCGTTCTGAACCATTTGTAAGGGTTTCACCGCACAAGCTGGAAGACCTGCTAGGAGAGCATTGCAATAGTCGAGGCGAGAGGTAACCATGGCCTGTACCAAAAGCTGGGTGGCGTACTGAGTGAGGTAGGGCCTGATTCTTCTGATGTTGTATAGAGCAAAGCTGCACGACCGAGAGACAGCAGCAATATGGTCTGAAAAGGACAGCTGGTCATCATGACACCCAGGTTTCTCACCACCCTGGTTGGAGGGATCGTTGAGGAGCCAATTTGTAGTGTGATGTTATGGTGGATAGATTGCTTGGCTGGAATGACCAAGAGTTCAGTCCAATTTAGTCGAAGGTGGCAAGCCTTCATCCATGTAGATATGTCCGAGAGACAGCCTGTGATCCGCGCCGAGACAGTGGGCTCATCTGGCCGGAAGGATAGGAGCATGAAAATGCTGCAGTTTCAACTGGAAGTCGACCTAGTGTAAGTTCATGGATTCACTTACTCCTCCTTGGAAAGCTGGAGCTGTTCGTCAACATAATTGACCTCATTTGCATAACGTGCGTCGGCATGTTGCAGTGAAGTGTATCCAGTGGATCCATCCAACTGTATCCAGTCAAAGCAGAGATTCCCCTGGAGAACAAGCTGCAGCTGCAAAACTTGCCTACAAGTATGATCATCTGAAGTTTGGGAGTATTACTTAGACAAAGACCCAAAAATGTGGTGCTCTGTAAATTGTATATGGCTTATCACAGCAGCAGAACTGCTATGCAACAACACAAGGCACCGTGCGTACTGTTTACCTTTTGTCCCCACACAAGCATAATACAGGTGCTGGTTATATAATTAGAATATCATGACAAAGTTGATTTATTTCAGTAATTCCATTCAAAAAGTGAAACTTGGATATTATATTCATTCATTACCCACAGACTGATATATTTCAAATGTTGTGTATTTCATTTAATTGTGATGATTAAAACTGACAACTAATGAAAATCCCAAATTCAGTATCTCCGAAAATTTGAATATTACTAATAAGACCAATACAAAAAAAGGATTTTTAGAAATGTTGGCCAACTAAAAAGTATGAACATGAAAAGTATGAGCATGTACAGCACTCAATACTTAGTTGGGGCTCCTTTTGCCTGAATTACTGCAGCAATGCAGTGTGGCATGGAGTCGATCAGTCTGTGGCACTGCTCAGGTGTTATGAGAGCCCAGGTTGCTCTGATGGTGGTCTTCAGCTCTTCTGCATTGTTGGGTCTGGCGTATCACATCTTCCTCTTCACAATAACCCATAGATTTTCTATAGGGTTAAGGTCAGGCCAGTTTGCTGGCCAATTAAGAACAGGGATACCATGGTCCTTAAACCAGGTGCTGGTAGCTTTGGCACTGTGTGCAGGTGCCAAGTCCTGTTGGAAAATGAAATCTGCACCTCCATAAAGTTGGTCAGCAGCAGGAAGCATGAAGTGCTCTAAAACTTCCTGGTAGACGGCTGCGTTGACCTTGGACCTCAGAAAACACAGTGGACCAACACCAGCAGATGACATGGCACCCCAAACCATCACTGACTGTGGAAACTTTACACTGGACTTCAAGCAACATGGATTCTGTGCCTCTCCTCTCTTCCTCCAGACTCTGAGACCTTGATTTCCAAAGGAAATGCAAAATTTACTTTCATCAGAGAACATAACTTTGGACCATTCAGCAGCAGTCCAGTCCTTTTTGTCTTTAGCCCAGGTGAGACGCTTCTGACTTCTGTCTTGTTCAAGAATGGCTTGACACAAGGAATGCGACAGCTGAAACCCATGTCTTGCATACGTCTGTGCGTGGTGGTTCTTGAAGCACTGACTCCAGCTGCAGTCCACTCTTTGTGAATCTCCCCCACATTTTTGAATGGGTTTTGTTTCACAATCCTCTCCAGGGTGCGGTTATCCCTATTGCTTGTACACTTTTTTCTACCACATCTTTTCCTTCCCTTCGCCTCTCTATTAATGTGCTTGGACACAGAGCTCTGTGAACAGCAGCCTCTTTAGCAATGAGCTTTTGTGTCTTGCCCTCCTTGTGCAAGGTGTCAGTGGTCAAGTCAGCAGTCTTCCCCATGATTGTGTAGCCTATAGAACTAGACTGAGAGACCATTTAAAGGCCTTTGCAGGTGTTTTGAGTTAATTAGCTGATTAGAGTGTGGCACCAGGTGTCTTCAATATTGAACCTTTTCACAATATTCTAATTTTCTGATACTGATCTTGGGGTTTTCATTAGTTGTCAGTTATAATCATCAAAATTAAAAGGAATGAACACTTGAAATATATCAGTCTGTGTGGAATGAATGTATACATTATACAAGTTTCACTTTTTGAATAAAATTACTGAAATAAACCAACTTTTTGATGATATTCTAATTTAATGACCAGATAGATACATTTAAGTCATTTAAATTGATTTTCTAAATGTTCTTTCATCGCCCACAAATAGTTTCTGCACCACTGCTGCTACGGTAACGTTACACCATGGACTATCTAATGTTGTTATTCGGTTGTTTCATATTTTCTTTTTACTTTGATGGCCATGTATGAGTGAGAAAATGGCTCAAACTAACCTTGCAGACTGTTGATACAATCTGTGACTGTCTGTACAATCTCTAAATCGTTTCAGTTTTTGTCCTTGCTCCGCAGTGAGACAAAACACATTTACCACATCTTACTGCAAATTATTCCAGTGATTCAATTAATCCATGTCATAAGCATTTTAAGTTGTAGGCCTGCAGTTAAGTAAAAACAATGATACATCTTTGGTTTCTAGCTCCATTTGCATCTTGTGGTTTTACCTTGCGTTCCCATTGGTAACCCACTATTAATCGTGACACTCATACTCTCCCTACACACATTACTTCAACTGTAACGATTTAAAAGTGAGAGTTGTGAGGTCCTAGTGTAACAGCAGTGGATACCGTGTTGAATTTTGGTCTCCAGAGACCACACATGGTTTAGAAAGCAACATGTTTTGATGAAGTTCAGGGTGAATTCAGGCTAATGTAAATGAGAGTTAATCAGCCACCTGACAGACTGGCCTGTGACAGTAATGAAGGAGTGTTGGACTTGATACTCATAAAGCTGTTTACACAGGTTGTGCAGTCGACACTCTTGAGTCTTTAGGGATAAATAGGTGTGTGTTGTAGAGAAACTGCTCTTAATCAAACGGCCCATGCTTTCAGAGATGTAAAAGGTGATTAGTTCTGTTAGCTACCATACTGGATTTCCAATGCAGGAATGTGTTTTGTTTGTAATATTGTGATAAATGCTTGTGAAATATGAGAACCTCTTCACTCACCGGTTGTGCTACAATTCTCTCAAGAACAAGCAAATAGATTTCAGCACCTTTATTCAGTGATTCTCCACCTTGAGTGGAAATTGTTTTGTCTACGGTCTCAGTTGTACTCATCCCAGTTCATCTCAGTGTCCCAGGATATCCATAGCTAATAGGGCTCCTTCCTGTTTACCGTAGTGCTGTTTTTATAAATCCACTGGGGATGCCATTGTTTTCATCTAAAGAAAGATATAGTTTGGGTTTTCTCACCACTAGTTTCTCCAAAGATCACTTTTCCCATCAGCCCTGTTGTTTCATATACCTTTCCAAGTAAATGTTGGAAGTTTTCAATTTGTCTTTAACTCCTTTCACCATCTACATTGATAAAAAAAGTGAATGCTTTCTCAGTTTGTTGTAATAATATGTTTAGTAATTATTTATTCATGGTTAATGATGCACTGAGCAACTGCAAACACTGATTGAACAGTCCATCAAGAAAACAATGATGCTATCAATTTAAGCAGAAAGATGAAACCCTCTATGCGATGTTGTTGTCACTTGACTACATGTGTGATTGGTATGATTTTTAGAAGAGATAATCACAGACTCCTCCCTCCTCCAGGTGATGGCGCTGGCGGAGGCTGCGGAGGAGAACCGGGCGCTGCTGGAGGAGGCGTTTGTCCGTTTACGGAGCGCTACACATCTGCTGGTGCTGCTACTGTCGCTGTGGCAGGGCCTGACCCCTGACCAGACGGCCATCCTGGAGGCCACACTGCTGCCGCTGCTGCAGGACACACCTCAGCTGGTACACACACACACACACACACACACACACAGGAGGCCATTAATATGTGTCTGTCCATCCATCTCCAGCCTGCTCAGTAAACACAGCCGCAGCTTAAACACACACTCTGAATTTTTTTTGAATACATTAAGTACTTCTGGTCCCCAAGGAATACGCACACACATTCTCAATCACACATTCACTCTCTGTCACTCAACACTCACCTGTCAGCTCTGCACTAAGAGTGTGTTCTTTGGTACCTGTTTTATGATTTAAGAATTAAAGGTGTGTGTGTGTGTGTGTGTGTGTGTGTGTGTGTGTGTGTGTGTGTGTGTGTGTGTGTGTGTGTGAGTGACAAAAACACACATAAATGCTCACAAGAGGTCAAGGCCACAAAAGGCTTCAGCGTGAATGGATGACATATTGCTCTTTAATCCGCCTTTGATTCAGAATCTGAGGTGTGTGTGTGTATGTGCGCATGCTGCAGGGGTCTCATACTCATATAAACAGCCGTGTTGACAGAGCTCCTCCATTTGCTGCAGTCAGACTACGAAAGATTTCTCACCCCATAGAGATTCTGAAAGTGTGTACTGTGCGTATGTGTGTAAGTTTTTCCACAGCTCTGATCAATCCCCTCAGCCTCTTATTACCACTTAGTCTATTTGCAGCCTCCTCTGACAGCCCGACGACACACTCACACACAAACATCTGTGTCTTCATAAACAACAGTACATAAAAAATCTTTTACGGTGTCACACACACACAAACTGTAGACAGGAATAGGTTCAGAGGGTCAGTTGATGAGTCTCAGGGGACTGTGTGTGTGCGTGTATATGCGTGTGTGAGTGTGTGTGTTATTTTAAATGGGATTAATGGCATTAAGTGAATTAGCAGTAATCAGGGCCACGTCCACAACATTAAAACAAACAGGTGCACTGATGAGCTATTTTCAGAAAACACAACACACTCTCCAATACAGTACCATGACTACAAACTGTCATGGTGACGCAGTATTTTTTACTTATCAGCACAATTTTATTTTTTTCATTAAAGAATAATTCTGGTTTATTATAATTTAAAAAGAGCTTTTGTAGTTTTCATTTTTGATGACATTGAAATCAGCAAGTAATAAAGGTTCAGTTTTTATAAGCCTACAGTAAAAAGAAAATTTAATAAAAAAATCTTTAGTACTCCTGATTCTGCCAATTCTACAGATTTATTTTACTATATAAATTATGAAGGCATAGTATTAACCCACAATCTCATTTTCGCTATGGTGTCTGACATACTTGTGGTGTTAGAATGGATATGCCCCATCACACTCTTCATCTCAACCCACTGACCTTTCCTGTGCAGGTGAGGTCATTTCAGGTGAATGCAGTTCCTACTGTCAGAGTGTCCTTTCAGTGGAGTAAATCTCAGGAATGTCAAGGATAAAGCCACAGAAGAGGACGGAAAAGCTGGATTAAGGAAGGAGAGAGAAGGGTTAAAGGGAAAGTGGGTGGGCATGAAATAGGAGACTTTGTGGACTTATTTTGATTCGTAAGAAGATGCTAACCAATAAAAACAAATTTTAATGAAAGTGGTTTTTGCATCTTCCATGAGATTAACAAAAGAATTTTGAAATATGGAATAAATTTCTATATTTTTAATGCACTAACCCTAAAATGACATAGATAGCATGTGAACACTATTTTTGTCTCAGGAACACTGTTCTTGCTTCCTTTGCTTTGAATGTACCATTTTCAGCATTATCACCTCTAAATCAATATATAAATTAAATGCAGCAGTTGCAAAATCCTGTTTTAGCCCTGCGCATTTTCTGCAGTGCCCAACAACCCACACCAATCAGAGAGTAAGAGGGACAAAACCCAAAAGCAAAGAGTTTAATATTGCTGTGAACCCACGGTATCAAATTTTAGATGGTCTAGGTGGGCGTATATGCAGTTTTATCAACTTACACCTTTTCTCATCTGGTGTATCTCATCTGCTGTTTAGAGACATTGTAGCATCCAAACTGCAAATTTAACACTATAAAAGTGTGCCAACAAATGAAACCTTTTAGTCTCCTCTTTCCCATTAGACACAGACATTCACCTCTGCTGCATGAAACAGAAATATGTAACAGAATACCAAATGACCTTAGACCTGTATGTCATCTGTCACATTAGCCTAGATTATGTGATTATCCATCTGATGTGCAAAGTGCAGAGAACCGTAAAAATTTCAAAAATGTGCGGCAGCTAATCAAAAAACAAGGTGAGGTTTTCTCCCTTCCTTCCCAGAAATGTGATTTGGACAGGAGCCATTCCTCTGACAGCAGCTGCAGATGCTCAGAATTATTTATCTGAGGTAAATAGACAGAAGTGTTTAGAATAAGAAGGTCAGAAAGGGGAACGGAGGGAGGGGGGGTACAAATTCTCCAGGTCTGCATTAAAAGAGTTGGATTGGGAAAAGAGGAGAAGGAGGAGCCGCAGAAGAAATGCTTCTGTGGTATCAGAGTAAATGTCTCATTTAGTTGCAGCCAACCAGAACACCTCCTTCCTCCTCTCGCATTCCTCCTGCTTCTCTCTTTCTCCTCCCTGTTGGTCCTCTTCCTGCCGTTCACCCACCATCTCTCCTTTCTCTCTTCCTCGTTCCTCCTCCACCTGCTTTGTCCTCCTCCACTCCCACCACCCTCTTCCTTCTCTTATTCTCTCACTTCTTATTCTCTTCCTACTTACTCTCCTCACTCGCTCATCGTCCTCATCACTCACTGACCCCCTAACCACTCTTTATTTATCTTTGTGTCCATCTTCCCTCCTCAACCACTACTCTTCATCAACCTTCTTGTCTGTTTCTGATCTTCCTTGTACTTCATTCTTTCTCTACATCTTCCTTCTCTTTGTTTCTCTCTGTCTCTCTTCTCTGAGAACTGTATATCCTTCTCTCTCTCTGCCTCACTCTCACTAACCCTATTTATGTCTCTCTCTCTCTTGCTGTAAGCTTTCACTGTCTCTTTTTCTATCTCTTCTCCCTGATTTTCTGACTCTTGTTTTTACCCCTTGTTCTTCTCCTTTCCTTCCTCCTCTTTCCCCTATCTTTTTCATCTTCACTCCCTCCCTTGTTCCTACTTTCTCTTTCTCTCCCCCGTTTGTCTCTTTTTCCGTCTGTCAGTCGGCTCATGAACAGAGTTGCTGACGCTGTCTGTCTCTCTGCCTGCTGTTCTTGTATGACCCCCACATTCTCTTGCCTTTTGTTTACTTTACCAGAATGCACAGCCTGCTTCGCACTGGCTTCCTGCACTCTTAACCAAAAAATTCTATATAGTACCCGAACATGTTTCTTTAGGCTTGTGGAACTTTTTTTACAGCGCTGTAAAGAGCATTTTTAGGAAAAAAAATTTCTTTGCAGCACACAGTCAGATGGTTCTCTGAGCTTTATTGTGATATAAAGAATCACTGAATAGTGCATGAAATGTTTCCAATCAGCAGAATTTGAGGGGTTTTTTTCCAAAGCCACACAGGGTCATTATTGTATTTCACCAGGTGTCATTTTTATATGAAACACATCAGATGGATTTTTGAATCAGTTTGGTTCCATGTGACCCAAACCAAATAATTTCTGTCAACCCAGTCTAGTCCAGGACTAATTCTGATTCTGTCCCAATGCTGCCTTCTCATTCATCTGAATAGGGCCAATCGAGCAGAGCAGCGGACTCTGGCAACAGCATGCAGGGTTGGCAAAGCGCTGCGGTGGCCAATCAAATACATGCTCACATTCCGGGTGGATTACTTTGTACCGACGTCCAATGTCCAATATTCATGTCTACCCATAGGGTTTACGTCTTGAGTCCTCAGTCCCTCTGACCATCTTTACCATCCTTCTTCATCTCCATGTGCCTCCATCCCTCCATCTCCATATCTTAATTTTTAAAAGTGACACTTTACCTCATTAGATCAATGCTGGCTTTTTGAATTCAGCAACTCCAACAAGAAGAAAATACAATTTGAACAGACAGTTGTTAACTTATTGCTGAAGCTGAACTATATCTTTTTAAACTGGATCATCTTTAATTTTGTTCTTATTGAACTCACTTAAAATCTCCTGAAATGCTGTTGTCCTTTCAAATCACAGGTTTCTTGAAATCATGTTAGAGCTTGTGATTGTAAGTAAGCAAACATTTACAGTAATTGGTTGTATTTAAAATTGATTACACCCAGAGGTGTAACTTCAGACAGTGAAACTGTGCCAAATCCAGCCTTTTGGAATTAAAAAAATATATATATTTTTTAGATAAAGGAATACACTGATTTTCTGAGGGATGGGATTGTATGGATGATTTTTTCCCCCTGGAGACCGACTTTAAAACATTGTTCTCTCAGAGCCAAAACTCATGTTTCTCAAATTACTTTCCCAGTCGTGATGAGGATGTCAAGATTGAAGGATTGCTGTTTGAACCTTTACCCGTCTCTTTGGGAGTCCTCCAAGGTTGTGTGCTGGGCCCGGGAACATTTTATCCACCGCCATCCAGTAATTTTGCAATCGCACCTGGGATTTCCCCCTTGTCGAACCTGATATCCCTGATGCAGTTCAAAGATTGTTGAAGGACAAGGAAAGATTTACTAAGAGAAAACAAATTTTTTAACCATCTATGTACATCTTCATAATAGTGACAATGAAACTACAGTACTCAGACAGATCAATTACAGACACAGTAATACCCACCAGTATACTTTTATGTTTTAACAATTTAACTGAGGGTCTGATCCAGAGACACTTACATTTCCAAATCATCATCTTTAAAAGTAAGATCAGAGGTTCATTGGACCTCTTGCAAGAACATAATTCGTATTCTTAACCGTTCCTTTTTAAAAGCGGTATTAAAGTCCTGCTTTCATAGATCCATAAAGGAAAGTCTACCATTTTTTACCAGCATCAGCAGTGGAATTAAGGGGATACAGTTGGATCAGTGTTTCTGTCTGCAGAATTGTGGCCCTAATAAGCTTTACATTTGCAGAAGCACAGCCTGTTGTCATCTAAATGGCAACAACAACCATTCATCTGTCTATGCCAATATGTCAGCACACGGTCACTCTCTCCCAGGGGCCTGATGGCTAAGACATCCAAAAGATTATACTTGCAGATGACCTTATTATAAACAGAGACAAGTTAACCTTTAATTAGTGTTATACAATAGCATCAAAAGCCCTTTTAAATGAATGATGATATCATTAGGCTATATGAATACATTTAGACTTACATCATAATTTGAATTACAAAGTTAAACAGGATAATGCCAACATAATTATGAAGTGTAATTTATACAGGATTTCCAAACTCAAAATTGTAGAAGTAATGCAATATATAATCCATTAGTTAAAAACGTAGGTTGGGATAACAGCAGACTAATTGCACTAAACTCCTACAACAGATCTGGAGCACTATTAAATTATGTTCATGCCTTAGAGAAAATTTTAAAAAACAATCGCTGAATGTGGCAAGTTCTCCTATATCACTCACAGTACAGTACAACAGTAACAATAACTTTGATCTGGTTGTCCTGGTGACAGTGACTCCATTTTACCAGCCCCATCAAGACCTTAAAATGCTTTTATTCCACCTTCAAAGTAATCTGAACCACCTACAGATGTCTGTAGGGCTGTTTTTCATAGTTTACTCAGAGTATGAGTCAACAAATTAACAATAAGAAGAGCTGAAGATAAAATATCCATGTACATAAAAGACATTAAACTTCAAAATGAAAAAAACTCTGATAACTGATAAACGCACTCCACACTACCTGCTGGGGAATGACTAACGACGATGCAACAAACATTTAGCTAAAGATAGGCTATGGTTAGATAACATTTTCACCATAGGTGTTGTGTTTACCACTTGTTAAATCAAATAGAAAGAGATTAAATAGATGATAATTACACAGCAGTCCTTATTTCCACTGTCAGGTGTCTTGAACTGGTAGTGAGCATTATTCAAAGACACAGATTCTTCATTTTTGATTTGTTGTTCAGTTGCTCAATAGTCAATATGCTCGTTGAACAGGTGGTAAAACTCGACAAAGCGATCCTTCAAACAAACTTTATTCTCAAGATTTATCTTGAAGAACAATAAAATCTCTCTTGTGAATCGATGTTGAACATTCACTTCAAGAGAGTCTTCACTTAAAATAACAATGAAATATGCATTAACCCAAGGTTCATTCTTTAAAAAGTGGAAAATGTTCACCAACACAAACTGATTTGATCTTCAGAGATCATTGAATAATACAATCCTTCTCTTGTTTCTGGGTACAGGAAACCAACTTCTCTCCAAATTTGGCTTTAGTTGGAACTTTGTCTTAATTTATCGCTCTGGCCTCGGTCCAAACCAGCTCCACTCCACCTTTCTTTACTTCCTTTCTTCTCATTCAGGAGGATGAATGTCTGCAGTTGAGGTCTAAAGACATTTAATTTTCCTCTGCAGCTTGTGGAACGTATGTGTCAGTATGTGCGCGTGCATGAGCGTGCCAAGTTTCCACAGAAACCTGCATTTATGTTGTTCCAAGTATTTGATAACCTGGTGAGGTATTGTTGTAAGAATAGGTCACCCACCTCCCACCTCCCCTCCTCCTCCTCCTCCTCCCCTCTCATTTTCTCTCCTTCCGGACAATTTTTCCCCTCTACTGTCTTCTCTTTCCTCCGTTCTTATCTGTGCTTGTCCTTCGTCTTTCCACTCATCTTTTTTTCACTCGTCTTTAATATCTGCCTTCCTCTCTATCATCATCTCATCTTCTTGACCTTCTACAATCCCCCCTCTCTCTCTGTCTCTCCCTGTCTCTGTCTCTCTGTCATCATCATTACAGGGTTGATTACCTGTCATTATGGCTCATTAGGGGCCTATCAGCATGGCGGCGGGGGGGGGGGGGGGAATGCAGGATAAGCGAAGAGGGGAGGGTGGGAGGCAACCTGTCACCGCACCCACCCCACACCCAAACCACCTCCCACTGAGGTTCACCCGTCCCCAGTCATCCATTCAGAGGCTGGTTATGGGTTCAGGGTTTTGTAGGACGAGATAGATAGGTGTAGGTGTGTTTGTGTGTGTGCTTGAGATCAGAGATCAGCGATGACCCGACCAGATATCTCAGCCAGAGACGACAGGGGGGAGAGAGTGACAAAAGACATGCTTCTTATCTCCTCACTGCCTTTTATTACTTCTGTGCGTGTGTGTGTTTATATATGTGTGTGTGTGTGTTCCTCCTTTGCAATTCTGCGTGTTTTATTATCTTGTTGCTCTTTTGTAAATGTCAAGAACATCGTTAAAGCCTCAAGATTTAAGATTTAAATTGTTCATTTAATCTTTTTTGCCTCCTCTTCATTTCCTCTTCATCCCAAATCCTCCCTCTCCGTCTTTTTTTTTTCCTGTTCCTCCTCCTACTCCTTTTCTACATTTTGGGCTCCTCTTTATCCCCAGCTATTCTTCTATTTCATTTCCTTCAGCCTACTTCTTGTTCCCCTTAGTCTGTGCCTTTCTCATCCTTTCTTCCTCTCCTCTTAAATACTTCTCCTTAGTCTTCCTGTCCTCTCGTCTCCCCTCTCTTTCTTCTGTTCTTCTTATTGTCACCTCCTCCATTATCCAATTTTCAAATGTATAGGAAGAAAAGAACCGAAAAAAGAAAGAATAGGAGAGGAAAAAAACATCCCTGACTTCAAATTTATTCAACCCTATCACCTCACTGCTTTGTATTTCTATATGACTGCCTCTAACAAAATGAAAACATCAAGTTACTCTACCTTTTTCCCCTCATTCTGCTGCTCTTCCTTCTCTCCTTCATCCTTCTTTCTCCCTTCATTTGACTCATTTAAACATATTTTATCCAAGTTAAACTCAAGAACTTAATCAAATATCATCATTAGTACATTACTCCTGCTCCTGTCTTCTCAGGGTTGGGAGGAGAGCTGTGATGCTGCGGTCTCCCATCTCCTGCGAAGCTGCCTTTCGCGGAGCCCCAAGGACCAGGCCACATCTCTGGCCCAGGCGGGAGGCCCTGTGCTGGGCATCCCTCGTGACACCGCCCGCCTCAAGAAGCACATCACCCTGCTGTGCGATCGCATCGGCAAGGGAGGCCGCCTCACCCTGGCCTCTGAGGCCAACGTCCAAGTCCCCATCCAGGTCCAGAACCTGGCTGCTCCCGGTGAGTCAGGGGTAAGGGGAAGGGGAAAGGGAGGTGAGGGAAAGGAAGGGAGGGACGGTAAATGGACAGGTAGCCCAGGAGAGCAGAGTATGTTAAACACTGTAGAGTTTAATGCACTCATTGTTCTGAACTGTATTATCAGAACAGCGCAAAATTCTTCCTCTGAGACTGCCCTCCCCCGCCCGCCAAAGAATATCAGCATCTGTCAGTTGGGCAAACATTTTCTTACTTTAATTACCGTCACCTCTTATAAGCAAAGAAGGAAGTATCGTGATGTTGTTGTATTGCAAGAAAAGCAGTTTGCATCCCGTTTCCAACCAACAGTCAGAGTTGGTTTCTTTTAACCATGATTACAATCTTTTTCTAGCCTTAACCATTTAGCCTAAACCCAATCCTTAATCTGAGACTCAGAGATCCAGCTCTAAAATAACAGGTGTGTGTTCTAAACAGAATTAAAGGTGGGGGATTCAAATCCAGTTAGGTAACTTAAATGACTTGCCCACAGACAGTTAGCCTACTTTCTAGTTCGCCAAGACATGCTGTTGTGACGTTAGCTACAGTAGCAGGAGAGTTGTGAGTATCACTGTCTGGAGCTGGTGTGCTGGCTGTGGGACCATCTCATCCTCTCCGCATATTAGCTTTGCAGCATCAACTGTAACAGCATTTTTCTGACCCACAACTTGGCCAACATTAGTTACGTAACTTTCTGTGTTGTCATTTGCTCTATATCATGGTATTGGATTTCTCCATAATCGCTTACTACACCTACAAAATAAATGAGAATTTGCAGTGTTTCAGAGTCAAATCCTTTAATTTTAAACTGCCTTACACCATATCTTTCTAAATTTGTAAATGTTTTCATTTTCTTATGTATTTTATCACACCTTCCTATTTTTGATTTACAGTTGAAACAGCGTAAAAACATCTGTTGCATTGAAAGCTGTGTCTAGGTATTTGTGTGTGTGTGTGTGTGTGTGTGCATGCGCGTGTGTGCGTTCCCCTGGTGAAGATTTTAGGCTTCGGCAGGCAAAAACATGAAGCCTATTCATAGTGCACTTTACGGCCAACACACAGACTCATATTTAAATGCATCTGTACACACACCCACAAACACACACATATGCAAAAAATACTGAAAACTCGTCCAAAGTTATATAACACATGCACATTGTGAAATACAGTACCAACACACTCATAAAACCTGGATATACTCATACACACTGGCACTGGCTTTTTTCAGGTACACACGCTCATAAAATTATACATATACATACACTCTTTCACACGCACAAACACAACTACCCAAAAACCTACATACACACACCTTACGGATCATTTAGTCTTGGCTGAAGTTTATAGAGGTTTTTCTGACAAGATCATCAATTATAATCTCTCTCCTATCCTCCTTTGCTCCTTCCCTCCTTATTTCATTCACTCGTTCCATCCCCCTTCCTCGCCATTCCTCTTCCTACTTTTCCTCTCAGGAAAACTTGCCGAGCACTGCCGTTACATGCACATGTTCCATTCCTTACTTTTACTAATGATTCTGGAATTTTAATATGATATGTTAAAATAAAGTAAAATTAAATAACTGCACTTCATAATGTCCTGTTCTGATTTAATGCCCTTACCAATCAGTAGCGAGCATCAGTCAGCCTGGAACCTACACTGGTGGTTGCTGAAAGCCTCAACATTTACAGAAACAATTTGGCACTTTTAGGAGTTGCATAGCTGCGTCAATGTCTTCCATGCAAGGTACAAGGTTGTTTATTATACAGCACAAGGCTGCATAACGAAACAAAATTTGTAGTTCCTTCGTGCTACACACACAACATATAATTAAGTGTAGGCTTATATCAAAATATGGTAACATATAACATAAAATAAAACAATACGGTTATTTATATACATATGTACAGACATGTATACACCCTGAAGATTCCACAGTGCATTTTTTTAATTTGCACGGGGTGAACGTAAACCGCAGCGACCAGATGATAGTATGAAAGTTTCATCTTCACAATAAACAGTCTGACATTTGGGAAACAGAGAGTCTTGCGCTGGCAGCTCAGGACATGGACCACCTGCCGATGTTGATGGGGAAGGTCTCTGTAACAGTCTTTGAATTCCGTTGCTTGGTCAATATGAGTCCCATTTTGTCCATACCGGCTCTTTAGGAGCAGAATTAAGTCCAAGCTGGGCCAGCATGGCTCCTCTCCTGACTCTATTTACTCTCCTCTGAGCAATCACCGCACCCGCCGTGGTGCCTGGTCCGGTTGTTTGGGCCGGATGGATCGTGGTCTGCTGCTCTTTAATCCAAAAACCCCATCTTCATCTTCCAATGACTGTACTTATGTCAGAGGTAACACATGTTTTGGCAATAAAATCAGAAAAAAACAAATAAAAAACAAAAGTGTAGCGAAATTTGAAGGAGCTACCGGCTGCTGCTTCTACAAGCGCCGCCGGTTGCCATAGCAATGATGTTCTATCACTGATTTTTATAGGTTTAGCGAGGTAGCTAGCTAACAATGTAGGAGGATGATGTCCCTATTCTTAATTCCACCTGTAAAGCTCTGATTGGTTTATTGATTTTCCACCTGACAAAAACGGCCATCAATAGGCAAATTGAAGATAAGGGAGGCGATTCAGAGGTCTGCAATCAGGACTTCTAATTCTAGTGTGTGTGTGTGTGTGAAAGACAATGTCTATAAAACTTTATAGGCTTATTTAAAAGCCATTATAGTGATTACAGTAATTCTACACAAAGTTCAGTGTAACGGAACTTAATCAGTTAATTAAGTGTGTGTGTGTTTCATGTTCTTACTGTATTTCCCGTTGGGGAAAAAATAGAGTTCCCAATGGATAGAGACTCCTTTTTGAGGGTTAAGACTTGGTTTTAGGTTAGGGTTAGGGGTAAGTGTTAAGGTCAGGCATGTAGTTGTGATGGTTAAGGTTCGGGGGAAGGGGCTAGGGAATGCATAATGTCAACGAGATGTCCCCACGGGGATAGTGAAACAAATGTGTGTGAGTGTGTGTGTGTGTGTGTGTGTGTAAGAGAGGAGGGTGCGTGTGATTGTGTTTATGTTTCCTTGTCGTGCGGTTTTCCCTCTCTCCTTTGGTCTGTTGCCAAAATTCACACACAAACACCACATACATACACCACACACACACTTGTTTGTTAGCTGCCTCAGATGTTGCTTTTTCACCCACCCGTAAACATACACACTTGTTTACATTTCCAACAACACCGGCGGCAACCTTTTCCCTCCAAGACCACAGACACACGCTCGTGCACACCCGCACCCACACACTGGGATACCACACAACAAGCCTCGCTTCATCAGGACAGAGTGTTTGTGTGTGTGTTAATATGTTTATGTGACAGTTTTCCGGATATAAAAACTAACAACACACACCCACACACACCCTAAATACACACTGAGACTGACATTACCGCTCTATTTGTCTTTTATCCAAAAGTATAGAGAAAGAGCAGAGGATCAGGTTAGATGGGTGTACAGAGCAAAAAAAAGGAAAACCTGTTCTTAAATTGATTTGCTTTTATGAAACATTCAACATTAAATCTGTTTATATTAAATAACTTTTTATTTAAGCTGGTAAGTCCCATTGAGAATAAAGGTTAATGTTACAAGCTGTCCTCCCAAGAAATACAACAGAATCGTTCAGCAAAGGCCCCTGAATGATATGTGTTTATATTCAAGTAATAATGTAAATAGTAATAACGATTATGACAGGAACAAAGGAGGAAGTCAGGTGATGTTATTCAGCGACAGGCCACAGAGGGAGGAGGTCTAGGTGGTGGATTGGTCACCAGAATGCTGCACTTCAAAATGGTGTTCTGTTTGCGGATCGTTTGATGTGGATCACAACGTTTGAGAACAATAACGGAAGCAAGAAGGACATTACCTTGAATCATGGCCCTTACTCAAAGACCTGGCCTGTTTTGTAGCTGCATTGCATTCTGGTCTCTTTCCGGCTACTGTTTGTTTTTGTGCCTCTAATCTGATGGTTTTTGATGGTACAAAATAGTGGATGTGGGAAGAATCCGTGGCCCTTTGATTCGGACAGACTGACATCAAAACCTTTTACACGGTTGCTGGAGATTACATCGTAATTCCCTTCACGCACACAGATAAAGCAGATTTTGCCTAAAATGCTAAGTATATTATATCACCAGGAACTGTTTTCAATTACGTTAAGGTGTATACTGCAAATCTTTCCTTGTAATAGAGTCAAAGATCACTGGATATCAATAAATGAGCTTGCATGTTAACATATATTAACATATTGCAGCTGTTATTATCAGGGTCATTGGTAATAGGTAATTTAATCCAGGTTGCATGTAGATGCCTCCCACCCTCCCTCCATCCCACCCTCCCTCCATCACCTTGACCCTCTGTCTCGCCCCGATTACATCATTCAGGCCAACTGGCTTCAACAGCTGCACTCTGTACACACATACACACACCTGGTGAAATCAGGAGTGTTTATCACATGGTTCATTAGTCATATCAGCGTGCTGTCAGCATAGCTTTGAACTGACTTCAACCAGGGAGGTTTGTATATTGAAGTCTTCTTCCACCCACACCCACATACTGTACACACACATACACACACACTATCTCTCTGAAAATGGTATTTTGCTTCAGTGAGCAACACTGTTGCTAAAGCTTCTCTTGTCTTGTGCTCTGCTCTACTTGGGCCTGTTTTTCCTGATTTCCTTTGTTTACTCTGTTTTAACCTGCAATTCATTTTGTGTAATAGTGTTTTTTTGTCTGTGATCCATTTCTTATCTGTTTTTCTTTTTACATCATTCTCTTTTGTGTTGCTGTTCCTTCTCTTCTTCTCTTTTCAGTGTTGTGTCATCTGCTCAGCTCTTTTCGAATGCTGCTGTATTTTGAAATGTAATGTATTCTCATATCTCTTTTTTTCTTTATTCTCTTCTCTTCTTCTACTAATGTTCACAGTCCAATTGAAAG